TGAGTATCACCGGGTGTACCCCCAAACAAACAAACAAACAAACAATAACAGACTAATAAAATTAAACCTTTTAGGAGTAATATCTATAGTCTGCGATAATTTGAACTAGAGAAAAACAGTAATCCACTCACATGAGTACACCACAGTAATACTTAACAAGTACATAGATATAGAATCTGGATGGAAAATTATTCACCTGAAAAATCGGACTTAAAATGAACTATCATGATTACCTTCTATATAAATATTTGAAACTTGTGGTGTTAAAAGCAACAAAGAATTGTAATGAATATTAGTATAATTTCTAATGTGAATATTCATATATATTTACACATATGAATAAAGATGGTGAAATTAATTCTTATTTCCATTTTAAATCTGATCCGTTGTTAGACGCAATAGAGTATTTATACATGACCAGACTTTTTTTTGTTTTGCTTTTTGAGCCACACCTGGAGATGAACAGGGGTTACTCCTGGCTCATGCACTCAGGAATTACTCCTGGCACGCTCAGGGAACCATATGGGATGTTGGGAATCAAACCTGAGTTGGCTGCATGCAAGGCAAACGCCCTACCTGCTGTGCTTTGCTCCAGCCCCCAAGAACATTTTTTAGTTTTAGCATCACAATTTGAGGTTTGCATTATTTCAAATTATAAAAATACTAATTCAATGGTTAGAGCTATAGCACAGTGGGTAGTGTGTTTGCCTTGCATGCAACCAACCCGGGTTCGGAGAGATTGGCAAGCTACCAAGAGTATCCCACCCACACGGCAGAGCCTGGAAAGCTGCCTGTGACGCAGTTGATATACCAAAAACAGCAACAGTAAGTCTCACAATGGAGACGTAACTGGTACCTGCTGGAGCAAATTGATGGATGAAAAGACAGTGCTGCAGTGCTACTAATTCAAAGGTTATTTCTATACTATATTTATTACAGCTTTATGGACAGAAGACAAAATATGGAATCAAACTAAATTCTCATCAACAAATGTGATATACACAATGAAAATATTGCTCTGATATTAGGAAAGATGACAACTGTGCCCTTTGAGACATAGATAGCTAATTATGCTTTATGAAATGAGTAAGGGAGTAAGATGCTACAGATATATTTATGTGTGATAATTACATGATACATAATGCAATAAGTAAAAAATAATATTTTATATATGCATATATAATGGAATATTTTTCAACTATAAAAATATGTGAAACCCTACATTTTCCACACATTATCATTTAATCAAGATGGAATCATATTTAGTGAAGTAAACCGGTCACGATCACGGTCCTCCTGTTGTTCATCCATTTGCTCGAGTGGGTCTTGTAATGTCTCCATCATGAGACTTGTTGTTATTGTGTTTGGCATATTGAATACATCACGGGTAGCTTGCCAGGCTCTGCCGTGTGGGCGAGATACTCTCGGTAGCATGCCGGGCTTTCCGAGAGGGGCAGAGGAATCGAACTCAGGTCGGCCATATTGGCTGCGTGCAAGGCAAAAGCCCTAGCACTGTGCTATATGGAAAAAAGACAACACCCATATAATGTCTCTTATCTGTGGTACATAGAGAATAAAAAAATAAAATTAAAATAAAATTTTACATTCTAGAACCAAATTAGTTATTACCAGAAGGGAAGAAGGAAAGAAAGAGATTAATCAATTACTAGGGGCAATATTTGACATTCAATATAAGTAAGTAAGTAAGTAAAGGCCCTCCCGTTGATCGTCGATTTGCTCGAGCGGGCCCAGTAACGTCTCCATTGGAGACTTTGTTGTTACTGTGTCTGGCATATCGAATACTCTCGGTAGCTTGCCGGACATTCAATATAAAGGAGAATGTACAGATTTTAGTTTATAGTAATATATATGTATACCTGAAACCTATATAATATTATAAGCTTATTTTATTGCAGTAAACAGAAATAAAGCAAACAATGGTAATGGAAAAATTTTAGTAGCAAATATTAATTCAAAATCACCTAATACATTGAAAGCATTTTATTTATTGATGTGGTATTGCACAATCATTTCTTTTAATAATTTGTTGTGTTGTACATGCTTTTTTGGGTGATTTATATATCTCATAGATTATAATAATTTTTATGTAAAATCAAAAATATATGTAATTCATTAATATCTGTTTCAGATTAAGTGAGTATTATGTTTTTAAGGAATGACAGGTACTGTCAATTACACAAAGTCAAGATTAGTCCATAATAATCTTGTATTGGCAAGTAAAGCAGTTCAGTTTCAACAAAACCTACAGAATCAGAAGGAATTTTAATAAATTTATAGTAGAAATAATTTTACTATATAAAATTTCTATATAAAATCAAAATAAACAGTATTTCCTATGAAAAATAATTCTTAGAATCAGGGATGATATGCTATCATTAGTGATTTGCTATTGCTCTATCACTAAGATAGGATTTCAAGTATTACTTTGGGGAACTGTTTGTGATTCCATGTAGTGATGTTCTGGGCCTATCTCTGACTCTGTTCCCAGAGATAACCCCTAGCAATGCTTACGAGACCATGGATTGAACTGGTCTTCGCTACACGCTGATAGTATAACAACTTAATTCCTGTACTATCTGGCCCATCAAATATATTCCCCAATTCATATGAACAAATTTCATTTCATTATAGCTTAGCCTTAAAATTTTTCTAATTAAATAATCTATTTTTTTTAAAAATAGGGGCTGGAGCAATAGTACAGCCAGTAGGGTGTTTGCCTTGCACACGGCCTACCCGGGTTCGATTCCCAGCATCCCTTACGGTCCCCCGAGCACCACCAGGAGAAATGCCTGAGTGCAGAGCCAGGAGTAAGCCCTGTGCATTGCCAGGTATGACCCAAAAAAGAAAAAAAAAGAAGAAAAAGTCACTTTGTTCAAAAGTCAATGTTGCTCACACTTAAGATTTCCTTAGTGCAGCATGCCCTGAACTCTTTTACTTACTGGTGCATACCTTGACTCTCAAAGGTCATATTTTCAAATATATATTTACATATGAAATTTATTCATGGAATCTCTTCATATAAGTGATTGTTATTGGCCAGGAGCTGTAGATCATCTATTGACGTACTTGAATTGAATGAAGTGAATCTCCTAATATATTGATCGCATTTTAATAATGATAATTTCTGGATTAAAGTATTGAAGTATGTGAGTTGGGAATTTCCATGTTTATAATGAGTATTTTATATCAATTGGGAAATGTTTTACTGTGAATACATGAATGAGATATGTTTGGTATCTGGTGTTTCGTAAAGAGCCAGTGGCTGCTTAGGAAATTATAACTGTAAGATTTCATCTAAGTCAAAGCATGGAACATTTATAGAGGAGTCACTTTAAGTGTTTTGTGCTTAACGTGGACAATTCCATTAGTTTAATACATTCTTCAATGTGAGGCTTATAAGATTGAGTGCTTTAAAGGAAGAGAGATATTTTAAGATCGCTTAGTTCCCGTGGAAGTGTTTATTCAGCTTTATAAGCTAATATATGTCAATTATGCATCAATTGGCAGTTAAGAGAGTATTGAGATTTATTATGAGAGATGCTGTGTAATCAATTTTAAATTACAGGACACTAATATAATTAGGCTTTTACACATTAAAAATGTAAGAAATATTTAGGCATTAATTGGAATTTTAAAAGCCAGTGATAACAAGTTAATAATTGTGACTACTAATAGAGTATCTAAATAAATGTCACTATTTTTATTAATTGATATTTAATTTGCTGTAGCCTGCTTGGCAAATGTTAATTAAATGCCAGAAAATTTCTTATAATTTTAACATATTAATAATCTTATAATTATGCCTTTATTGCTTACATAATTATGAATTAATTACAAAGCTAGTAGATTTACTGTACCCTTTATAGAAGCTCAGGACTATACCTTTTTTCCCCCACAGGTCAATAAACTTTATTGCTTGGCAACCACCAATAGTCAGAGAACATCAAAGCTGTTTGTAAATAAATATAGGCTTTTATATAATGCTAAAATCAAATATCAATCTAAGAAAAATGAAATAATATAAATCTACTCTTATTTTTTAATACTCTTATGATTATTAATTTAAAATTTTGGAGGAAACAAGGAAACTATTAAAGTTTTTAACATATTTTTCAGAAATGACACATATAAATTTCTATTTCAAAGTTCTTTGATATGTTCAATCTAATTCTATATGGATTATAGAATTTACATGTATAAAAATAGTCTCATGAAATCAATGTTTTCAATTTACCAAGAAGAAAAATCAATTTGAAATTAAGAGTTATTTTACCAATATAATATTTCATCAATAGTGTTTACACCCACACACTGAAGTTTGTTACTCTTTGCTTGCTCATATTTTCTTTATTTTTATTTTTTTCATGTAACTATTACTGGTTTTATGTAGTTTTTAATTTTAGAGAGTTTTGGCTTTATAGCTCTATTTAATTGTCAACATTCCCATCCAGATACCCAGTGCTATACCCACCAAAGTATGCATATTTCTTCCACCTACTCATTTTTCCTCTGGTAACCAACATAGGTTTTTTTTGTTTGTTTTTTGTATTTTTGTTCTTTGGGTCACACCCAGTGATGCTCAGGGGTTACTCCTGGCCCTGCACTCAGGAATTACTCCTGACGGTGGTTGGGGGACCATATGGGATGCCGGGAATCAAACGCAGGTTTGCTGCCTTCAAGGCAAACACCCTACTCACTGTACTATCACTTTGGCCCCACCATAGTTTTCAGGGAGTCTAGTTGTTACCTTTGTTAGTTATTGCTAGTGTTTTATTTGCATTAGCAATTGACTTAATGATTTACATATATGAACCACTAATTTCATAAAACGAACAAAAGAATCAAACACATAATTAATTAAAAAACAGACAAATTAATTTGCATGTCAAAATTATTAGACAAGAAAATATAATTATTATATTTCTTATATTCTTAGAAATTTTTTCAGACTAAAATGCTAGGTTAAAAATATAATTTGGACCCTTTTTCGGTTCATAAGCATGATGACTGGGCACTCACACATTTGTGTGATATGTGCCTCCATTAAATCTTGTTGCACACTTGGCACATTACCCATCTGATGTGAGGAAGAAAAAAAGGGAAAAAATATAATTGCATCTTCTAAAATAACCATAATCTAATAACCCATAGACATAAATAGATAATATGAGCATTTTTAAAATTGCATCATATAAAAGAGAAAACTCTGAAATTGGATACTAGCTAGGCATTTGTCCTCTAAATTGTACAGTGGAAATGAGTTAAACAGGTTAGAAAGCTTTTGTGCTCTTTTCTAATTCTAGGTATAAAATGAAAATATTTGTCATTCTTCTCTAAATAATGCATTAAGACTATTGTTAAATCAACAAGGGTTACTTCTTTCATATGCTTATATTTGAAAAAATAAATACAATGGGTCTCATTCCCCTGACCCTGAAGGAGTCAACAATACAGCAGCATTGAGAAGGATGTGGAAGTAGAGGCTGATAAAATCTGAAGGCCGAACTAGGCTGCCAAAGAAGAAAGACAAAAATGACTGTCTGTAATTTCAATGCACGTACGCTGGCATCAGATGCATCCATTGAGGATCTGATGGTATAAGGGCAAAAGATCAAGTACGACATCATTAGTCTGACTGAAACGAGAAGGCAACAATCACATCACGCCATTTAGACACTGGAGAACTGTTCCTCGGAACATGCGAAAAAAGAGGCATAAGAGGTGTCGGTGTCCTTATCAACATGAACTTGTCCATGAGCATTGATTCATTCGAATGCCTAACAACCCGAATCAGACAATTACACTTGAATAGATGTGGCTCACTGCCGGCACTTTCTATCTTCATTGTCTATGCACCAACATCCAATTATGATGAAAGAGAAATTGAAAAGTTATACATGGAGCTGGAGAAGTTCTATAAAGAATACCACACCTTCTACAAGATCATTCTTGCTGATTTTAATGCCAAGATAGGACAAAGAAGATCAGCCAAGAGCTCTACATTGCGACCCATGGCCTAGAATGGAACGAACAAGGGTGAGAGACTGAGTTCATCATGTTGACCAAGACCATCCATGGTAACTCACAGTTTCAGAAGGCCAAATCTAAACGTCGGGCATAGGAGTCTCCTGGTGGACGGTTCCACAGACCACATAATATTCAATGGACGGTTTTGCCTGACTGATGTTACTGTTGTCCCAAAATTCCAAACGGGATCTAACCACTGTCTCCTTTGTGCAAAATTCTACTTCACAGAGCGAGGAGAAAGGGCTGCAACGTTCAAGAAGAGAACTTCCAGAATGACCACCAACTGGGAGCTCTTTGAAACTATTGCTGCAATATGGGAAGATGCCATTGTTGACAACATTGATGAGTAATACAAACAACTGGTTCAGCACATTCATGATTGTGCTAGGAACACCAAGGGAGAGATAGCCACCAAAAAAATGCCTGTCTTCGAAAACTCTTGAGCTTATTTGCCAACGTGGCTTAGTGCATGCCTCAGGCAACCACAAGCAAACATCTGAACTTGCAAAGCACTGCAGAGATGCGATAAAGAAAGACCTCAAAAAGAGAAGAGCAGAAGTGCTGGTAGATGCGGCAGAAGCTGGGAAAAGCATTCACAACTCCCACCTGTCCTTCACCAACTACAAGACCAAGATGATTGCCCTTGGACATCCTGATGGATCTATCACATCTTCCAGAAGGGAAATAGAGAAGATTATCCATGACTTCTACTCAGATCTCTTTGATAGCCGCGTCCACCTGCCTACATACCACATTCTGCAGGATGGATATGTCATTCCCAACATTCTTTCTTCAGAAATCCGACACGCCATTTTGTCAGTAAAGAAATGAAAAGCACCTGGCCCAGACAAGGTCAGACCTGTACCTCTGAAGAACTCAGTGCTCACCAATACACTGGCTCAGCTCCTCCTATGCTACCTGTCTGAATGCAAGATTCTGTCCCAATGGAAAACCAGCAGGACTGTACTACTGTACAAGAAGGGAGATATCCAAGACATTGACAACTATCGCCATATCTATCTATTGTCTGTCATCTACAATCTGCTCACTTGAGTCATCCTGAATAGGATTGGCAGAACACTACATGAAGGACAACCATGCGAGCAAGTCAGGTTCTGCAAAGGATTCAGCACGATTGACCATATTCACACGATAATCACACTCATTGAGGTTTCTCAGGAGTTCAAAATGCCTCTCTATCTAACGTTCATGGATTTAAAGAAGGCCTTTGATTCTGTTGAGATGGAAGTGGTCATCGAAACCCTAGCCATTCAGGGTATTCAAACTCAATACATCAGGATTTTCCGTGAGCTGTATTATGGATTTACTACTAGGATCTCACCATTCTACAAAGAAGTGATCATTGATGTCAAGAGAGGGGCTCAGCAGGGTGATACGTTTTCATCAAAACTCTTCAGTGTCACCCTCGAGAACGTCATGCGACAACTGGAATGGGAAGGAATGGGAGTGAAGATAGACAGTTGGCAACTACACCACCTCCGCTTCGCTGATGACTTTGTTCTAATAACACCAAACATTAGCCAAGCTGCACAAATGCTGGCCGACTTTGACCGTGTGTGTGGAAAGGTTGGACTCCAGCTGAATCTCACAAAGACAATGTTTATGAGAAACAGTCTCGTTCCTGACATTCCATTCACTCTCAAAGGAATGACCATCTCTGAATGCAACAGTTATGTGAACCTAAGTCGAGAAGTCAACATGATGAATGACTTGGCACCTGAGTTGCGCAGGAGGAAGAGTGCAGCTTGGAAAGCCTTCAGAGCATCGAAGAAATAGCTGAGTATTAAGACCCTCCTGCTTTTGGCACATCTCTCCGATTCCACTGTTCTTCCTGCATTAACATACACCTCAGAGACCTGGGCCCTATGAAAACAGGACGAGAACGCTATTCGGGTCTCCCAAAGAGGAATCAAAAGAGCTATGCTTGGAGTATCACATTTCACTCAAATGAGAGAAAGAATCCAGATTTCTGGCCTCCGTTGATGGTCAAAAATCAGGGACAATCGTTTGCAAAGGCATCCAAAATCAGATAGACTGGACTGGACACAATAATGACATTTGGAGACAACCGCTGGACTAGAGCCTTTATGTACTGGATTTGCTGGACTAGAGCCCTTATGGACTGGATTCCAAGGGAAGTCAAAAGACCACTTGGCCGCCCACCTACAAGATGGTCAGACTTCTTCGTCAAGACCCTGAATGATCGGTTTGAGGATCTTCTTGTTCCTAGAGCAAACCGATGCTATTGGACTACACTAGCACACGAAAGGGATGAATGGAGACGTTACTGGCGCCAGCTCTACCAAATTGATTTGTAACAGGAAGTCAAGTGATCAAGTGATCACGTGATTAGCCCTCCTTTTATCACACAAAATAATCACTATATTTCAAATATAGTGACACAATGTATCAAAGTAATCAGTGTGGAATATGCTACTTGTATTAATTTCAAATTTTCTTCATAATATGTTGTCACCTTACAATTTTGATACAACCCTCAATTCTTTTCCATTAGGCTGGAGTTATAGCACAGCAGTAGGGTGTTTGCCTTGCACGCAGCTGGCCTGGCCTAGCCAGGTTCGATTCCTCCTCTCCTCTCGGAGAGCCCGGCAAGCTACTGAGAGTATCTTGCCCACATGGCAAAGCCTGGCAAGCTACCCATGACGTATAATATGCCAAACACAGTAACAATAAGTCTCAAAATGGAGACATTACTAGGCCCGCTCAAGCAAATTGATGAAAAACAAGAGGACAGTATAAAGCAATCTAATGCAATGCTATCTCAAAATTTACAAGTCTAAAACTGACTAAGGAGATCCAATCTACTAAAAATCTACTACCTAATACTCAAAATGTTCTGTTTTGGGACTTGAGAGACACTGTAGCAGGTAGAATTCTTTCCTTGCATGACCCAGAACTGATCCCTGGCATCCCATATAGTCTTCTGAGTCCTACCAATAATAATCATGGAGTACATGGCCAGGAGTAAATCCTGAGCTCCCTGAGCTTGGTGGGCTTTGTGTGTCCTAAAAAGCAAATATTAATACTAATACTAATAAATATTCTCAATTTTAAACATCTAACCAGGACTGGAAATAGGATTCAAGGTGGAAGAGCCCATGTCTAAACTGTGTCAGCTATTGACTTCCATTTCCATCTCTGTAAAGCTCATCAGCTCCATTGTGAAGCACATTCTTTCAGGCACTTATACACATCGACTTGCTTGAGCGGGCCCAGTAAGGTCTCCACTGTGAGACTTCTTGTTACTGTGTTTGGCATATTGAATACTCTTGGTAGCTTGCCAGGCTCTCTGAGAGGGGCGAAGGAATCGAACCTGGCTCAGCTGGGCTGGCTGCGCACAAGACAAATGCCCTACCACTGTGATATATATATCAAACTCATAATTTTTGACACATTTTATGTTGTGTGAAACATCTTTCTAGCACATTTTCAGCCAAGTTCCTGATATCATGTAATAATAAAATCTCTTAGAAAATTTCAATTAATAAATGTTTTATTGTTAATGTGTCTGGTGTATTTTAAATTTTTACTCAACTTATATCACTACCTTCTTCAGATTAATGACTGTAGTTTCTAATTTTGTTTTATCTCAAACAGTTTCAAGTATTGAATTATTCATTCAACAGCAAAAAATTAAAAGAGCATTGTTTACGCATGCTTACATCTTATAGTTGTGAGGCACACCTTATTTTATGAAATTTTTAGTGAAGAACAAACTACTTACAAATTCATGATCACGATCACGACCATCCTGTTGTTCGTTGATTGCCTCGAGCAGGCCCCAGTAACGTCTCCTTCGTCCTAGCCCTGAGATTTTTAAATAAGTGCCATATTAAACGCTCTATCAGGGTTAGGAGAATGAGACCCATCATTGTTACTGATATTTGGCATATTGAGTACACCATGGGGAGTTTGCCAGACTCTGCTGTGTGAGCAGGTTACATTTGGTAACCTGCTGGTTTGTCCAAAGTAAGAATGCGATAATAAGATGTCGCTTCCGGGAGCTGGGATTTA